GACGAGTACATGGTGCAAATTTCTTTCTAAGATGGTCGCTGAGCAGAGGCAAGATCGAAACCAGCATTCTGAGTTTCCTTGAGAGGCGAAAGGGTGTAGACGAGGGGACCCCTGAACTCCGGTTCACTTTTTTTGTCAGTCCCTGCTTGCATTATGGAGATGGTGAATGTGATGAATGCAGTGAATGTAGTGCGAACATCGCAGTGACTCACAGGTGATGAGGACTCGTCGCTTGGGCCCCATCGCCTCGTGCCGAGGCTTCCTCCAACCATGGAAGATGATGTTGAAAATCCATTCCATCACTTCCAGAATCGAGATGAAGGACAGACCAGTGTAGAGACCCAGTATCCCTCCCAACATACCGATGAAGGTCGACCACTAACCCATAAACAATGTTGCGGACCGAATAGTGACATTTTCGGGAATCCCAACTTTTGGACCTATGAACGAATTCAACTCACGGGATATTGAAGGTGTTCCGTAATTATCTCCACAGCAAAGGTCTCATAATAGACGTTCACCACTGCAAGATTTTCTCTGCATAAAAAGTCAAGAAGCATGAGCCATTAGAACAGGAAATGGGTTTCATATCACAATCCGCGTGTCGTCTACTTAATGGCGACTTGTAAACACTAGTATCGTCATTTAACCATTGTTCAATCAACAAAGAGTTTAAGCGGAAATAGCAGACTTCGGATGTAGACAGAAAGTCCTGTTTTTCAGCTCGTTGTCGCTCATGTTCTTCCTTTTCGCCTCTGCCATCCAGGAGATGAAATGCAGGAGTAACACCTCGTCGCGACTCATTTGCACTGAGTTGGACGACAAGGAGTACGTCTCCTCTCTGAAATAAAATTACCTATTTAATTTTTTTTCTTTTCACGTTCAAATTGTCTATGCAGATGGACGCTTACAAGCAAGTTACAGGAGGACAATCGCAGAACCCTTCTGAGAAGTATTCCTTGGGCACCTTTTCCTTTGTGAAATTGTAGCATGCACCGCTTTCCCCTGAATATCATGATAAAATGACGATAATGTAATGGACTAACATCTAGATGACATGACAAGTCTTTATGATTATGTATCTGAATCGCTCATTAAATTCATATTAATCAGACAAGCGAAGTTTGCTCAGAGGAAGAGAATAATATAATTTCTTACACGTTTTATGGCACGTTTTATCGACCTTCATGAAGCCTGGCCAGAAGGACGTTGAGAAGCAGCATAGGTCGGTAGAGTCATTTTTCATCCGGTCTGCAAGACACATTAGCCGGCAAACCTCATTGAACTGAGAGAAGACGAAGAAAAAATGCAATGGCAAGGGTTTTTAAGTATGCTGTGAGGTCAAATTCAAGAAGCTTTTCTCACATCGTTGGCGTATTTGTATTCAAGGTCGAACATGTTCATGTCAAATCGCTTCTCGAGGTAGGTATCTGGGGCACAATTTCCACCTTCGTTTGGAAGAAGGCGCTGCAACACCACCTTCTTGGTGGGGACATGAGAAATCGTTCCCAAATTTACCTCATATCCTTTTTCCAATTCATTATCGTCTTGTATTCCAGGAGGGTGAATTAGGAGACGGAATCTGTTCGCGACACGAGATGTCAGTATCAGTTGAAGTCCATCCTGGACAATGCAATTCAGAAAAAATAAACATGTTAGTTCCACTCCTTCGGGGCAGAGTCTCAAAAGAGTCTCACGGTGATTCTCATGCCGTTGGTTGAAGATGATTTCCCCTTTTCCCTGCGGTGGCCTTCCCTTGCTCCGTTGAAGTTGAATGTGAGACAAGACCCGTACTTGAAATCTCTGGGAAAATCCACGATTTCAAATTTCATATCATTTTTTATGTTACTCAAGCTTCCTGTTTCCTAGAAAAACTCACTTCCCCCATCATTTTTTCAGTAACGTTGTACTTAGTTTAAATTATTGGAAAGGACTTCTTACTAGCGTAAGGATATTATCTCAGGCAAATGCTATGCTTAAATTTCAATCTTAGAGTAAATGAAGTTGGGCGATCCATGAAGTTGAAGTGAATCGGATGAAATAGTGAAATCCACTTACGAATAGTTGCATTTTTCTTCGTTGAAGGTGCAATATAGTATGTACTGCTGAAGAAGTTGCTTTAAAACTTCTTCCACATCCGGATCTTTTTTAATCCCATCAAAACCACCGGTTTCATCTAAATCCGTCCAAATTCTTGTGTCGCTCAACAATTCGAAAAAAGGAGCCCACTCCTTACTGGACGTTGAATTACCTACAAATGACAATTATATTTGTCATCATCGTTAGAAATCGTATAACCATTAAGCAGGCAGATTTAGAGGGATTTTTTAGTGTAATAGTGTTTTCTATTTTCCCTCATGAAAGAAGAAAATAATATTCTTCGACGCTGGACGTTGCAAGAAAAAAAAATTCCATTACAACACAAAACAGCACAGTTGGCTTTCACAAATTGCAAATTGATTAACATTTCTTTAATTGGCTCATTTTTGGAGCATCGAATCACTTGCAACTATGGGATGCGTTGCCATCGGGACTTTACCAAGATGACACAGAGGTTTTTAGATTAGTTCTGGAATATATTAGCCATTTTTTCCCGTCCAGTGCTTTGTACAACAGAGCTTTAGGACCAACATGCTCAATTCAGACACATTCCACTCGCATGACCATAAAAATCGTAGTACGTGAAGGAGGAATTAGGAATTATGTAATGGCTGGTGCACGTCATTGTAAATGATTAAGAAACACAATTAACTTACTTTCGGCATATGGTTTGATGCATACCTCCTGCAATCCATACTTGTTCATAATGCAATCAGGTTCGTTGAAGGAAGGAAACAGATCTGCTTTTGTGTGTTGGCATGTGCTATTCGATTTTGAGCGCTTGTTGATCAACAAATTTAAATGAAAGAGATCAAGTGTTGGGAGTCTCGGAACATTTTCGTGTAAAGTATATGGCGTCGGACAAATACTGACAGCAGGAAAAGGGAGGGTATCCTTAACCTCCACCTGGATTGGGATTCATACAGTGAATCTATCAGTCCCTGCTGACAAAAATATGCGGATATTAACACATCCGCTGCCAAAGACGGCGATAAGAAGACGGCGTGAAAATAGTTTAATTACTTGTTTTTTCAAGAGATTTCAAAATCTTCACTATACCTTACAGTAATTATGCTGAACATTTTATTCAATTATATCCCTGGAAGTGAATGTGTTAAAGAGACGAATGCATGTATTTAGGGTGGTGTACTTTTGTCGAAGTAGTCTTCACCCCCGACATGAACGCCATGAGTACGTCGATGATTCCGGAGACCATGTAACCCGACGCGATGACGAAGACGAGAAGCCAGACGGTCTTCCTGAGGCGAGAGGAGTCTATATACGCAGAACGACTCAGCCCCTGAATGATCAAATACTTTTACATTTTGTCGAAGGATCAGTCCATGTCTTCTTAAGAATGCCAGTTATATTGTACAAGTTCTAATTGCTGACCAGGCGTTGATAACTTTAAAAATGCATAGAAGCCAATCCGGTAACACGTGACGTGCGAGATAACTAACACCTGCAAATGAAAACCTGTCAAAGCTTCTTTAAGGCAAAAAGTTACATTCCATTATTCGGAATATTCAGAATTTTTTAAATGCCTAGTAAGGTTTGCAGTGGTTCACATATCCAAATCAGGATGATTTATCAAAGCGATACATTTTTGCAGTGCCAACCTGGCTCGGAGAACTCAGACGTTAAATTTGCAAAAAGTCACATACATTTAAATATACCCTACTTTCCGCAAATTTAGTCAAATAAAATCTTTCCCATCAGTTTCATAGCGGATTCCTTTGTGAGACCCAGAAATAAATAATGTTTTGTGCAAAACTGAAAGACGACTCACGTGTCCTGAAAATCTCTGAAGGAATTTGACGGTGACTGGACCGACACCAACCGTTTCTCCCTCGTCTTCAAACTGGATATCTGCTTCCCTACAGTAGACCTCCCGAGCGATGGAGACTTTCTTCCCCATTACCATTTCTTTGGCTGAAACTAAATTATGGCACTATGGTCTCATGTAAATTCAATCCGATGCCGTGCCACCTGTCTCCCAAAGCACCCTCGCTTCCTAAAAGTGAGTGCAGCTCGTCCCTGAAAGGCTTCGACTGTCGAAGGTGTTCTCTTTGTTCCGCTTTTAATGGGCGGATTTCGATCAATACATAGCGCATGCGTGCGCAGCGCTAAAGAAAAGAAACCACCCCTGGAATGCCATGAAAATAAAACCTCGGCCACAGGAAACTATAGATAGCAACGAAATTTGGAAATTGGGGAAGGGTGTAGTTGGAAAGGTGGTAAAACAAACTTTAAGAAGAGAGGAAGCATAGCCAGCCTCGTGTGAGTCAGAATACGTTAGCACTAAAATATGAAAAAAATTGTGGTCAATTCTTTTGGAATATCTACTGCTGAAAACATTTAATATCGAAACAATATTCGTTTGCCGATTTCCCTGTCAATTGTAATTTAAAAATAATAAAAAATTGACTGCATCGAAAATAGAATAATAATAATTTCGCCTTCATACTTTCAGATGAAAATGCGATGAAATGGAGCATGATCGCATTTCCACTCATTGCATTTCTTCATGTCTGGATCGGTCTAATTGCTGGAGGTTTTCGGCTTTCCTTTCCGCATTAGACACTTACTTCGAATGCCGCTCACAAAGATCTCCGTTTTTGTGTCCTTTCGCGAGCCCTTTTGCCTACCCTATGGCCGAAAAAGTCATAGCCTTCCAGGTATCGAGCTTCATGCTAAGGTAACTCAGGCTTAGGTCAGAGCGGCGGATTGAACGGGTAAAATGTCCGCTTCGGAAGTTGTTAAGGATGGACCACACGTTCCGTGTTGGATTCGCGTTCGGTGGCCAGTCGATCATTCCGGACACATGCCGTTCTGAACATATATCTCTCTACCTTGTGTGGCTTGGATCTTTGTTTTACTTGAATCGCCAGGGCAGTCTAAACTGTCTCCTGCCAGAAAGTAGATGTTCTTGAAGAAATTGAGCGTACTAAGAGCCGTCTTTTATCTTTCTGAATCATGTTTACGGCTCAACAAACATTCGTCCGGCTTTTTGTAAATTCTCTTGATCTAAGGACGAGAAAGTCCAAAGGCTGCTCAACGATATATCCTATTTCTGAAGAGTCGATAACATGTTACATCGGAGGACACCGTCTGACTCCATTCGTCGTTTATATGTTTAGGCGACTGTTTCCTTTTTGCTTGTGCCAACAAACGCGTCGCTTTTGAAAAAGGCTCCCCTAATCGAAATGAGCAAATTTCCATTGAACCATTGATCTGGACACATGCCGGCCTCGGTTCACTTGCAATGTCCTCAAAAATGTTGCACTGACCGATCCACTGTCTACTGACCGATAGTAGTACTATCAACTTGCCTTATCATACATTACATCAGTATTATCGCAGTCATTACAATCCCGATTCTCCGCACTAACTTGCTCTCGGATATAAGTCATATATACCTCGACAGTATCGATGGACCATTTTCAGCAGCACATATATGCCCTACGTTCTAATAATGTAAAAGAAAAACTGATCGGTTTTTGACGGTAGCTAACACTCACCTCCTACACCATTTTCAGCAGATTCAACGAAATTTTCTGTAGTTCTCGTGCTCAATGTTAGATACAGTCTCTTCTTGCCCAATGATAATGTTTTGGGAAAAGCACTTTGGAAACTTCGGAAAATGTACCTAAAGAAAGATCCTGAGCTCAGTGGTAATATTTTTTTGCACTACACAACATATAAAAACTTCATGCGCTTAATACTTTTAATCGACCTGAAGCCTAAACAGGCTTAAAGATGGCCATGACAGGCGAATTCAGTGTCCATAACATCTAGCAAAGGAGTGATGCCTTAAGGGAAAAAAAACGCGACCCCGAAATAGGAAACGCAGAATTGCCAAAGGCGGGAATGTACCGTCCCGTTATGTTCACATTAAATAAAACACGCATCAGTTTTTCCGACATTTAGTGACATTTGCATAATCTCATATGTTTTATATGCTGAAAGGCTAAATTTCCAACTAAGAAGGTGTACACCAGACTATCCTATAGCCTAAGAAAACCACTTGGCCTACTGACATGCCATCACGGCTCCCTCATAAAGCATCTCAACATAGAAAAAACTGAAATCCTACCCTTCATCGAAAACCATCTACAACGATTTTCCACATATCATAACAGGATATTTGTGGAAATAAGTATTCCGTCACCATGGGCAATTCGGACGTCGTCATCTCTGTACATGCCGAACGTCGTCTGTTGGCTGCTTGGCTCATAGCTTAGTTCGAGTCGCGTTGTTGCGAGACATTTTGAGCCAAGCATTAACAGACGATGGCACGTGTAGAGAGACTTCAGCTGGGTTTGTCCTTAGAACCTGGAAGTACTACAAATTCCATCTAATGCTCCTGTCATGCTAGGTTCTCCGCAGAAACGGGATGTAACAGCTGTTGATGCTCTAGGCCGGCCGTGCACCACCTGACCAAGCCGG